AGTTCCCTGTTTAACCATGCAGGTCTCCTGAAGAAATCTTCTTGATTTCTTCTACTGTATGGTTTGATCCAAAACGTACACATGGTTGTCTAATTGTGACTGCTCAGATAAAATTATTTTCTGATCCTTAGGCACAGCCCAAATTCTATATATGTATTCTCCCTGCATTTAATGAGATACTTCAAATGCTGAACATCTTGTTCAGCTTTTGGCAGAACACAGATGGAGATAAGAGATTGTTGCCAGGGAGACTTTGCAAACTCTTAGAGTGTAGCTTCACTGATAGTTTTCTAGCATACATCCAATGCTGAGGTCAACAAACAACCTCAGCCCTTCCATATGGGGGATGAAATGGCTTCGTATGGTGAAGCAGGTTTGATGTCCAAGCTCTGAGATCGAACTGTAAAACTTCTTACTCCCTGGTAGATTCCCAATGTACCATGTAGTCTGTGCCCTTTAAGAGAAACAACTAAGTGCCTTTTTTGTTTCCCCAGAAATGTGAGAATTATTCTATATACTAGAAACTCCAAGGTTATGGCTGTTTTCATGTAGTCTCCTCCTCCTCTGGACTGTATTTTGGCAGAGTTGACTGGAGCTGTATAATCAAGAATAACTCCTCCAGGTCTGACATAGCATGACTTCTGGATTTCCATACAGCCAGTGTTTAACAGCACATTGTATTATCCAAAAAGTTTGTTATAACATTCCTGGCAGCTATATTAAAGACCATTACAATTTCAGTGGCTGACTAAAAGAATGGCACAATGCTGAAAAAGAAAGGTTTTCTTTGACTAGCAGTTATACACATAACCTATTCACTTAGCTAGCAATAGATTATTTTTTTAGACATGCTTATGTCACATATATTTTTAATGACCTAGACATTATTTTTCACTAATTATATTTTAGATAGATCATAAAAGATTTTGCCCCTTTGTGACACAGTCTGTTTCCCCACTTTTCGTTATGAAATTAAGCTCTCATTTTATAATCCACAGCAAGATCAAATATCACATTCTCTTAACACTCCATTAGCCTGGTGAACCCTTCTACATATATCAGTGCAGTTACACTGGGCTACAGAATAGGCAAACATGATCATTTACAAACAAAATAGCATTAGTTGCAACCATGAATTAATAATGGAAACCCTAGACTCTTTTACCTTCACTGCCACCAAGATCTTGTCCTGCTCGGGACAGAGGTTATAGCATTCCGCCAGAAAGACTTTCCCAAAGGCTCCTTCTCCCAGTTCTCTTTTGAGAACAATATTGTGGCGTTTGATGTGCTGCACAACTGTGAAAAGAAGACAAAACGGATGTCAGAAGTGAGATGCAAGGCCAGGATGGGATGGGATTCATGCTTACAGCCACGTGGAGACAGTGTTGCCTGGAAAGTGGGGCACGTGTCGTGGAAGGAACCAGAGTGCCCATGTGTCATTCATTAGTGCTTTGTTGAAAAAGACTGAGTTAATATATTTATATTTGGAGAGTAGCTCATTTGCTGGATAAGAAGACACGGAGGCCATTTATCATCGTGTTAGGATGATTGTTGCAAGGCATACATAACAGCCAATTCTGCTTTTTTTAAAACATGAAAACAAAGAATCAGAAAACAAATCAAACCTTTCTCACACCACTTCTATTTTTATACCTCTCACAATAGCTGAACTCTCTTGTCCAAAGTAAAAGTGTTTTAAAATTAACCTAATCCAAGAAAACAAAACATGCCATCTTTCAACTAAATTCAAATTACTCTCTGATTCTCTTACCACTTGTTAAACTGCTTTCCCTCTCTGTGCTATACTACCATTATAATAAGATAGAAATTTTTTTCTTGCAAACATGATTTACAGTATTGTTCTGAAGTAAAAGAAATAAAAGATGGACAAAGGTTTTAGACAGCATAGTGGACGGAGCCTTAGTGGAATTTCTGCCCACAATCAGTTAATTTGGACTTTAAAGTCCTTGAGCATTTTTGTTCAATGCATTTTACATTTTCCTTTCAGCACAAGCTTCCATTAAAAGATTTAGTATTTAAAAGACTTTACCAAATTCTGTAGAATACATTATAAATTTGCAATGTACAAGCTAAATAAAGCAACTGTAAGGCCAGTTTAACTGGCCAAGTCAACAGGGTTGACAGGTCGTGTTGCTGAAATTCTACAAAACAGCATCTACTGATGAATTTAACCTTAGTGCATTTAGCTGCTTTTGCAAACACTGAAATTTAACCCTGCCTGGCCAAAGTCTATTTGCAATTTAAAACCTAAACACAGTGAAGTAAACAGTGGTGCAGAGGCATCAGGCTGGCTTCTGCAAAGGCATGAATCTCACCTTGGCTGCTTTAACTGCAGGGACCAGGACTGAACCCTGCCAATAATTTAGGATCCATTCAGATGCAGCCCAATTCCTGCCTCCATGCTTGGCCACAGGCCTGTTCCAAATTAGGTGACCATTACGCACAAACCACCTTGGCTCCACTACTAAAAGATGGAAAACAGTGCTGCTGGTAATAGCAGTGAGGATAAATGGCACAGCCCATCCCCATTGCTGTCACCAGCATTTGCAGAAAGGCACCACAGTCTACAAGAGAAAAATACATGTGTCCCACACAGTAAGCATACAGTGACGTAACCCAAGTGCACAGCATATAAATGCACTTCGCATCCATGTGCGTGCATGTTGGGGGAGCCCAGTGCTGGAGCAAGCCAGGGCAGTGAGATATGTCCCCAGGTGCCTCCATCTGAGTTTGCCAGGGGGGCAGAGCACCTGAGGAGTGGACCTCCACTAGACCCAGCTGGCACCTGCCAGAAACCCCCAGGCTGGCACACAAGCAGGCCCACCATGCCCTGGGAGCAGAGAGGAAAGCCAGCTTCTCCCCATGCCACACCAGACCCACCAGGGCTTGCTCCTGTCTCCACAGCTGGCAGCTGCAGGGGGGCCATCATCTACCCCCTCCTCCAATGCCAGGCCTCCCAGCACAGGCCACATGTCCTATTAACAGTTGGGTACATATGAAAGGAGACTGCAAGGTATCCTTGTTTTTCACTCTTGTCAAACTCTGGTCTAGGGTTAGATTGACTTTTACCATGGTGATCCATGTATACGGGGATATTTTGTTTGGCCAGCTACCCAAGTAGCTCCCCTGCAGTCAGTAGGAATTTGCTTTTTATTTTCCTTTCCTGCTCAGCACTGGTTTTTCAAGTGAAGCACAAAATGCAGTCAGCACAAGACAGACCTGAACCAAAGCACACATTTTCCCCATGGACACAAGTCAACTGGCATCCTCACCTCTGCCAATACCGGTGACAAGGCAGACAGGCGGGGAGGACCGCTGCCCCAGCACGCCGCCTGAGCACTGGAGCGTGGCACACCTAATGACCTGTGCTTTAAAAAATGCTTACTAAAACATGAGCACTCCCCCTTACCCCCTGCCAAACCTGCCATTCAACCCTGCCTCTTGGGGACTTCTGTTTCCCTCTGCTTGACCAGTATCACCAGAAGGATACTTTCCTAGAGAAAGAAGTTCAGCTCCATGTCACCAGTGTTACCATCTTAAAATGCTCACAAAGCCCATAGGCCGGGAGTAGGGCATCAGCAGCAAAACTCCATCAGAGCCAGTTTTTCACTTAGTTGTCTCCACAGCTGGCAAAACTTGGTGATGAGCACAGTTAACTTTCTGAATTTTGTGTGGGTCTTCTCCATTTTGAACCCAGAACACCCTCAATGCTGGCTCTAACAGTACAAAGGTTTTTTGTGAAGTTCTGGAGGACTTTACAAACAATAGAATAAAAATAAATAAGAAACATATCAACTACTTCTTTGTAGTACACTTACAGCTGCTGCTAAATGCTCTTGTATAAACTAAGCATTTGAATAAGCAACCCATTCCATAAACCAAACTGTTAAAACCAAAATGCATCAAGCTGCAGAAAAGATCTGCATGGAATATATTTGCAACTTGTCATGCTCTATCCATCCCTGTTACCTTTCTGAGCTGCACTGAGTTACTAAAAAAATATAAAAAAAATGTGACTAAATGGGCAGAGATTAAATATAAGAACAATGCAAGTAAATCAAATACACATGATGTGACGGAAATACGAGCTAAGGAAAAAATCCATTTAGTACACTCAGGGCCCCAGCCATAATGACATCGTCTTCAGTGGGAGTTAGCAGGAGATACACTGAAAAATTCAGGTCAAAATCTGCTTTCAGTTAATATCAGGATAAAGCCAATTATCTCTGTTGAAGTCCAAGAGATTATCCTGGTTTTACATTGAAGAAACAAAACAGAATTTGGCCAAAGAGGTGGCATAACTGAATTACCAAAGAAGTGGTCTCATAAGATTGTTTCAGAGGCAAAGATATACAAACATTCAAAGGGTAGCTATGTTGCTTTCCCCCTTTTGACTCTAAATGGTGATTGCATTTGAGCCGCCGTTTGTACTTTTAAAAGCATATAATCCCTGGTTTAAAATATCTTGTCTAATTACTGTAAAAAATACATTACACTAAGCTAAAAGCTAAGTAAAGTTGAAACACTTAAGAGAAGTATGAAACAAAATACAAAGCGAGACCCAGCAAACTAAACAAGGGTAAATACTGAAAAGAAGCAGTGGTGTTAAGTAACCACACAGCCATATCTATAGAAGCAGAGGGCTCCCACAGATGACTGCAGGGAATCGGCTATCAACAAGGAGCACAACTACAGAAAAGGGCTCTCTATTCATCTTGCGGTCTCATAGACATCCCACCAACAGAGCTGGACATTTAGGTATTCCATTCACTAAAAAACAGTACGTCACACTGGAAATGACGCATCAAAGCCTTATCCTGCAAACAGGCATGCAGTTGCACTCCGCAGGTAACCCACCTTTGATGATGAGGCTGAACAGAGAGGGTGACACCGCGTTCTGGAGTGGGTCCCAGCAAAATGGGCAACTTGGGATCACCTCACCACATGGAATTCACTGAGTTGGATGTGACTGGTTCTAGCCACAGATAGCAGGACACTCAGCAGTATAAATTATTAAAATGTTTCTGCACGTAATTAAAAAGTGAAATGCTGTGACAGACTGAAAGTGTTTTCCCTTTGGTCACAAACAATAGGTCTGAACGTTTTCTCACCACATGTGACCATTAAACCACCTAAGCTGACCTTCTACACAGCACTAAGCACAGGATTAAGTTAAATGAGTTGCGCTTGGCAGGAGACTGCCTGCACAAAGCAGCTGTTTCAGTCTTGATTTGAAAGTCTGAGCTATTCACTTGCCCTAATGTGTAATCATTTTCACTACTAATAAAAATGCATGCCTTTTTCTTTATCTCTTAGTTTTTAGCTTGTCTGGCTTGCAGGTCTTCCCCTTTGGTTTCAGACTTTCTCTGCTAGCTTGAGCAGCCTTTTTAAGGTCTGGTACTAAATATACATGATGAACACTCTTCTTGCTCTTCTTGGTAAGGCAAAGAGATGGAAGCTCCTCCCAGGAAAACCTTTTCTCCAGTTTGCCAGTCATTTTCATGGCTCTTCTCTGGAAAAAATTTCAACAACCTTTTAAAAGAAGTTGTTTCCAGTTGTTTTTCTCAACTGGAAGCCAGGACACTTGTATAACTCTCCACAAGGTTGGGATAAAAACATAGAATCAGCTCCCTATGAAGATCACACTAATCCTTTTAAGGCTGGGATCCCTAAAGAGCAGGAAAATTACACAGTTATGTGGTACGCATGAGTGTGTCTCATCTTGAACATCTCACCCAATTACAGTATCACAAGTGCTGTTAAGTTTCAGATGTGTTCCCATACGCCTTATGAGGACAGCAGGGCAGAGGAGAGCTCTCTCCTTACAGAGGGGCTGCAACACAGGCTTCCTGCTTCATGGACAATAAGAACCACAGCAGACAGGCTCCATCATCACTGCTCACTGAACTACCCATACTAGAAGGTCTTGTTGTGTTGCATGCCCTACTGAGTCTGCTTTCTAAGACACTGTTCAAAACTTTGTTAGCAGTACACATGTGGAACAGCCCTGAGGAAATACGTTATGCCAGGACTTTGAGAAGAGAATAAGGATCTTCAAGATGCCAAGTAACCAGGCAAAGTAAAATTATAAACATATTTACAGTTGCATAAGAAAAAAAGCAGCCACAGAAGACACACAGCTTGTGATGTGACATGGGGTGCCACAGAAAGATATTTTACAAGGTTCTTAATTTCTTCTCCCACCATTTCTCTTGCAATCATGAAGACTCAACTATTTCTAAGACCTTGCTACAAAAAACAGGTGTAAATGGTTG